GTTGAACTTTTGTAAATGATTTAAGAAATTGTTCTACAAGAACCTGTTTGAAGACAGGATAACATTAAAAAAGATTTCCCTCTGAAAACAGGGTTTCATTTAGTGTTTTAGACTTGAGGTTAGATTAGAGAGTGAATCAGTATACTTAAAGCAAAATGAAAGTGGCCAAACAACAGAACCTTAAACCTATTTGTTTATAAACCAGACACCTTGTCTACTATTAAGGAAGCTTGCAGATAGAATGGCTCAGGTTATAGTATGTTATCTCTAGTAATGATGCTATTTGCTTAAACTGCTAGAGGATATAAAAACCACTTTCCATCATTCTGCTTCATCCTGTGTTTACTTGGTTTGTCTATTTCTCTCTCTCCTTAAACCCCCAGTCTGCCTGGCAGAAGCTGCTCACACTAAACCTGGTTTTAATGGAGGTTTCTTCCTGTTAAAAGTGAGTTATTCCTGTCCACTATCGCTGCATGCATGCCACATGTGAGGGATTGCTGTCAGTCAATGAGTCTATGCAATCATAGACTCAATCTTTAAACCCATCTGACTGTATGATGTGATTTACTGTCTTGTGAGGACATGTGTTGGTTCTAAATAAATAAAATTAATTTTAAATCCATGGAGAAACTAAGAAAATAGTTATCCCAGATTTGTAGTCATTCATCTGCTAAGCAAGAAGCAATTAATCCCAAGTAATGATTTAAAAAACAAGATAGCTCACTCCATGCAATCGTTTTCAGTGGGTGTAAACCGCTAACCTGACAACAGCCAGATGCTGTCAATAAAATGAATGAGGCAGTGGAGGAAGAGGAGGAGCAGGAAGGCAGAGGAGGAGGAGTCTGACCTGAACTTCTACCCAAGAGCTCTCAGTTTCAACAAAGCGTCTCTCTGCTACTGAAAAACAAGATCAAAAAGGAGATTTTTACCAGCTGATAAGTTCGCCAGGATGAACACAGCCCGGCTGATCTATGTAGCGGGGACACGACCTCCTCCTCTGCCTTCATCTGTTTCCTCTTCCTTCTCAGTGAGTCCTTCTACAGCACGTCTCTGGGTTTTCTGTGACTCTCTGAGTCAGAATCAATATTTATTCGTGTAAATTACAGTTAAATGCTGGTTTTTTGGCGTTAACGCGGTTTGTTTTTTCTATGAAAAGGGCGCTCCCTTCCTCTCTCCCTTCACCTTTGGCACCACTGAAGATAAAAACCTGCTGAACATGTGCGGGAGTCAATACTGCAGGGAAACTTTGACATCCAGGTGTTTCCTGAGAAAAAAAAACTTTAGATATATTAATGTTTGCAAGTCTGAAGCAAATAAAACTACATTATTAAACAGTGGCTTTTTGTATAACACCCTCCTATGTTCAAAGGTCTGGTAATTGTCATTTGAAACATGAAAACATTTTATATGTTTTTCTTTTTCATGGAAACATTTGAATCCAGACTATAGACAACAAAAATCAACAGAAACAAACAGAGAAATATTTCTTTTTACTGCAGAACATATTGGAAAACTATGGGAAAGGATTAGGGCCACTGAAAAAGTGAAAAAATGTTAACTAATTTTTTTTTTTTATTTCAGTATAATCGGTCTCCGTCAGTCACGTGACATTTGTTGCTAAGACGCCATTTTTGGCGTAAAGGCGTAGTGTAAACAACCGCAGTATAGCTAAACGAAGGACTAAAGGATTGAGTTTGTCTCTCTGACTATATGGAAAAAAGTAAGCAGAATGTGAAATTACCGTAGGCTACGGTGTCGTGCCAAGGTAG